AATTGGCTATGACACTTCGCTACGGTTAGCGTAGTATCATAGCGTAGGGTTGCGGACACCTGGGTGTGACACTACACTATGACACTACGCTGCGGTTAGCGTAGTGTCATAGCGTAGTGTTGGAGACACCTGGCTGTGACACTACAGTATGACACTACGCTACGGTTAGCGTAGTGTCATAGCGTAGTGTGGTGGGCAACGTACAGTTAGGGTTGTGTCATAGTGCTGTGCTGGAAACAGCTGGCTATGACGCTACGCTGCGGTTAGCGTAGTGTCATAGCGTAGTGTTGCGGACACCTGGGTGTGACACTAAACCGTGACAGTACGTTGCGGTTAGCGTAGGGTCACAGCGTAGTATTGGAGACACGTGGGTGTGACACTGCACTATGACACTACGCTACGGCTAGCGTAGTGTCATAGCGTAGTGTTGCGGACAACGTGCAGTTAGTGTTGTGTCATAGTGTTGTGTCAGAGGCAACGGGCTATGACACTACGCTACGGTTAGCGTAGTGTCATAGCGTAGTGCTGCGGGCACCTGGGTGTGGCATTACACTGTGCCACTACGTTGCGGTTAGCGTGGTGTCATAGAATAGTATTGGATACTCGTGCGTACGACACTACATTATGACACTACCCTACGGTTCGCGTAGAGTCATATCGTAGTCTAGCAGACAAAGTAGCGTGAGCGTTGTGCATAGTGTTGTGTCAGAGACAGATGGCTATGACACTACGCTACGGTTGGCGTCGTGTCGTAGCGTAGTGTTGCGAACATTTGGGTGTGACACTACACTGGAACACTACGGTACGCTTAGCGTAGTGTCATAGCGTAGTGTTGGAGACACTTGGGTGTGACACTACACTGTGGCACTACGGTACGGTTTATGTGGAGGAGAAAGAGATGTTTCTTGTTTTTTTTTTTTTTGCCTTAGGGTTCTGCTTGACTCTGCTCCGTGAAAGAGGTTTCTACGCTACGTTAAGGGTGGTGTCGTAGCGTAGTGTTGCGGAGACCTTTCCCAATGCTCCCAGTCTTGCTATGGTTGGCTATGGTTTTGCTGCGGTTTGCTGCGGTTTGCTATGGTTTTGCTGCGGTTTGCTGTTGTTTGTTGTGGTTTTGTTGTGGTTTGCTGTGGTTTGCCGTGGTTTGCTGTGGTTGTGCTGTGGTGTTGCTGCGGTGTTGCTGTGGTTTTGCAGTGGTTTTGCTGTGGTTTTTGGTTTTTCTGTGGATTGCTGTGGTTTGCTATGGTTGAGCTATGGTTCACCTGTGGTTTGCTGTGGTGTGCTGTGTTTTCGCTGTGGTGTGCTGTGGTTTTGCTGTGGTGTGCTGTGCGTAGAATCCGCTTTCATTCTGGGTGTGACGCTACACGATGACACTACGCTACTGTTGATGTGGGGGATAAGGAAGAGTTGTTTTTGTTTGCTTTTTCTTCGGGTTTTGCCTCTCTGGATTCTGGTTCGGGACAGAGGATTTTACGCTACGGTTAGCGTCGTGTTATGGTGTAGTGTTGGGGACACCTGGGTGTGACATTACACCGTGACACGTGGGGGAGTGTTTGCTTTTCCTTGGGTTTTTTGCTTGGGTCTGACCCAGCGCCTGTGAAGCGAGTATAGTGTCATAGCAAAATGTCACGGCCGCTTGGCTCTGACACATCGCTAGTAAAGCTAGTGTAGTGTCACCGCGTAGTGCCACAGTCGCTTGGTTTTTGACACAACGCTTGTGAAGTTTGCGTAGTGTCATAGCGTAGTGTCAGAATTCACGATTCAGATCTACTCTCTCCTCATGATGATTGAACACTCCCCAGGAATCTTCATATTCCCTCAGGATCCCTGAGGACCCCAGCGGATCCTTCGGGATCCTTCAGGGTCTTTGGGGCTCCCTGAGGATCCTTGAGGATTCCTCAGGACGCTTCAGGACCCTTCAATATCCTTCAGGACCCTTGAGGATCCCTCGAGATCCCGCAGTCGCCTCCAAGATCCCACAGGCTCCTCCAAGATCCCTCAAGATCCTTCAGGATCCCTCGGGTTCCTTCCGGACCCCTCAGGATCCGTCAAGGTCCCGCAGGGTCCTCAGGAGGCCTGAAGGTTGCTCAGGACTCCTCGGGGTTCCTAAGAGTTCAGCGTTCCGAAGGATTCCTCAGGGTTTGTCAAGATTCTTCGGATTCTGGAAATTCCTCGGGATCGCTCATGCCCCAAGCAGGAATCCCTCATGCCCCCTTCAGGATCCCTCATGCCCCTTCAGGAATCCCTTATGCCCCCTTCAGGGTCCATCATGCCCCCCCCCTTCAGGATCAGTCGTGCCCCCTTCAGGAAGATCTCTGAAGATCTCTGAATATTTTTGAAGATATCAAACTTATGAAGATTCTGTACTAGTGAGTGGCTGTAAATGGGACCAGTTTGGTTGCAATTCGCTCCGAACGGTTGGAGTTGGGATTTGTTGATTGGGATTCGTCCATTTCCCCAGGCCCCCCCCTTGGCGGCGCGTATAACGCCCCCATTGTCGCGCCACGCGTGTCAGGGGAGGAGGTTCCAACGCCCGAGAACTCCGCACAGACCTCCGAAAATTATGTCTACGCCGTCTCTGGCCCCTCTACTACGGCCGCGGCTAGTGCTGCTACTGCTGCCGCCCAGCCCCCCTTCCCCTCTTCGCCCTCGCCCTCGCCCTCCTCGCTCTCCTCGCCTCCGCCCTCCTCGTTATTCCTCGCCCTCCTCGCCTTCGCCCTCCTTGCCCTCCTCGCCCTCCTCGCCCTCCTTGCCCTCCGCTCCCTCCTCGCCCTCCTCTCCCTCTTCGCCCTCCTCGCCCTCCTTGCCCTGCTCGCCCTCCCCGCCCCCAGCGCCCGGGGTGCGCTCAAGGGGCCCGAAGTCCGCGCGTCCTCGCCGCCAGCGGCCTGGGGCGTCTGTCACGGCGCGCGGCCTTGCCGGTTCGGAGGTGGTGCTCCCTGGGTGCCGCGCGTTGGCCGCCGGCTGGCCTCCAGACTCAGAAGAGGAAAAGGTACCGATGCTCAGCGCACCCTGGGGGGGACTCCAGAGCCTCCAAATCCAGCCTCCGTCGCCTCCAGGAATGCCCCAAGTGCCTTCTACTTTGGCTCCGACAGGGCTCCAACACGCTGGAGAGGCCTCGAGAACACCCAGGTTGGATGAAGGCGTCCGAAGACGCCCCCAGAGGGCCCCAAGAGGACCCCAGACTGAGGTAGTTACCCTTCCCCCGCTTTCCCCTTTTGTCGGCCCCCTGGAAGGCCCTCGTCGCCATCGCTGGGTTCGCCTCGAAATCCTGGTCAGAACGCACCCCAGCAGAGGTCGGGGCCTTCTTTCTCCGTGTCCTCCTCCTCCTCCTCCTCCTCCTCCTCCGCTTCTCTGCACCCCCCGTCGGCGGGAAAACAGCCACGTTTTGTTGGGAGAGCGTTCTCCTAAGCAGTGGCGAAACTCGCCCGCGCACCGAGTCCGTTCATGCTGTCCGCCATCGTCCCCTCCTGCTTGCCCCTCCTTCTTCTCCCAAAATAGTGCGCTGGAAAAAAAAAAGAATCATTGCACTCCGTCTCGGGTGTTCTTCTCAGGGGCAACGAGAAGGGGGCATGGGCACAGTGGGGGATGCGTCGACCCCCGCTCGCCCACTGATGGTGGATAGGGGCCCGATAGCCTCAGCATGCCCAGGAAGGTGCGGATTTTCACCATTGGAGGCCCATCGCCGATCCATCGGCGACGTGTCGCCGACTCCAGGTTGTTGTGCCCCCCCCTGTGCCAGCCCCCTCGGGTCGTTGCAGCTCAACTTCGGGCCGACCGCTCGATCCGTTGTCGGGCGCTCCAGAAAGGGCCTCGCCTCGGCGTCACCCCAACCATGCTGACACTGTGTGTGTGCGCCGCCCCCGGGGCCCCCAGGGGGGCGACGCGCGCGCGCCGAGGAGCCTCGTGGTCTGAAGCTCCGCGGCGGGCGCCTTCTGGCCGTGCCGCTCGGGAAGCCACACACCACAGGAGGGTCGTGCTCGGTGTGCGGGTCGGACGCGCGCCTCCGAGGCGGACACGTCGGACTCGTGTGCCCTTCTGATTGATCGAGGAGGAGGAGGAGGAGGAGGAGGAGGAGGAGGAGGAGGAGGAGGAGGAGGAGGAGGAGGAGGAGGAGGAGGAGAGGAAGGAGGAGGAGGAGGAGGAGGAGGAGGAGGAGGAGGAAGGAGGAGGAAGGAGGAGGAGGAGGAGGAGGAGGAGGGAGGAGGAGGGAGGAGGAGGAGGAGGAGGAGGAGGAGGAGGAGGAGGAGGAGGAGGAAGAGGAGGAGGTCTCGGCGCGCCCCATCGCTCTCGATTGATCGAAGGAGCTGACAGCTCCTCCCCTTGGGCGCCGGCAGAGGGTGGGCGGCGGGCGGCGAGGAAAAAGCGGGAGGGCAGGCACCCGCTGGTGGAGGCGGGCCGGCGGACGGCCCGGAGTCGCCCGCCTGCCTGCGCCTCCTCCTCCTCCTCCTCCTCCTCCTCCTACTCCTCCTCCTCCTCCTCCGTCTCCTCCTCCTCCGCCTCCTCCTCCTGCCTGCGCCTCCTGGGGCCCCCGGGCGTGAGTCAAACGACGCGAAGATCGGGACAAAATCGGATCGGGATAACTCGAAATCTCTGAGAATCGGCGGGTTTGGAGGATGTATTGGGCGCCGCGGCCGCTCCAGAGCGTTCCGGAACGCTCTGAGAGCGCTCCGGGACGCTCTGGAGCGATTTATCCCGATCCGTTTTAGTGAGATCGCGCCGAGACGACCGTTTTGGTCGACCGCGTGGCTTCGAGCGGCAGCTGGAGCGCAGACCAAGCACCACGTCCTGGAGGCAGAAGCCCGAAAGAGGATTCATGAACCTGGACCAAGCTTCACCGTGAGAAGGTGACGTAGGCCGCAGCAGTGGCACCGTTGTGTGCAGATGCTCGCTCCCGTTGCCACGCGGACCAGCTGCATCCCTTAAAACGCAGAGGCAGGCCTCCTCCTCTCTTCTTATTCTCCTCCTCCTCCTCCTCCTCCTCCTCCTCCTCCTCCTCCTGTGGGCCCACTGGGCCCGAGCGCGGCCAGCGCGTGCCGCAGGAGTGCCGCAGCCGCCCTCTGGCGCGGCAGGCGGGCCACCCGCCCCGCGAGACCCCCCCCCACACTTGAGGGGAACCGCCCCCTTCGGCCTCCGCGCGCGGCATGGACCTGGCGGTCTCGCTGGCGGAGCCGCCGCCGTGCGAGCGGCCCGCACCCGACGACGCCGCGGGTTGTTTCTCGGCCCGCTCCGGCGCCGCGGCGCCCGAGGCGGCGGCCGTGCGGGCGCTGTGCGAGCAGGAGCCCGACCTCGACGGCTTCGAGCGCCTGGACAAGTGGCGGCATTGCGAGGAGGAGGGGGTGGTCGGCGTCGGCCAACCTCGGAGGAGGGAAAGGTACCCACACCGCTATCCTTCATTTTCTCCTGTTTGGGCCTCCTGGGGAGGCCCTCGCCGCCACCGCTGGATTCGCCTCGAGATCCTGGTCAGAGCGCACCCCGGGGGAGAGCCGGGGGGTAGCCGTATCGGTACCTTTTGTGTCCCCGCAGCCGACCCTCCGTCCCCACCGGAGGGAGCAGCACAGGATCTATCCCCACCTGGGGGGGGTAGGTCGGCCAGTGGGGCCAAGACCGTGCCAGTGGGGATGGGGACCCCCCAGATCTCCGACGTCGTGATTTTCCCGCAGCGCGGACCCCCAGAGGTCCAGACCCACTTCCCTGGGACCAGTTTTTCATCCCGAGTCGTTTTGCAGGACCCCTGGGCGAAAATTCAAAACACCTCCCGCCGTTTGGTACTCATACTCGGATCACTCATTTTCAGACGCACTCACGCTCAGACTCACTCAGACTCAGACTCACCAGTCAGATCACTCAGCTCGCACTCAGATCACTCACACTCAGACTCCCTCACACTCAGACTCATTCGCACTCAGATCCACTGATACTCATGCTCACTCTCACTCAGATCCGCGGATACTCAGACTTGCTCATACTCAGACTCACTCATACACAGACCACCCCACTCATCCCTCGTCCCCAGCCAAATGACATGCATACTCATACGCACATGCCTCTCTCAGTAGAATCGGTCACGCTCACAGAACGGCCACCGCAACATAGCAGGCGTGTCACTTGGGCACCCCAGGGGGGGCCGCCAGTGGGTGTTACACTCGCCCGTTCGTAGCCAACTTGTTGGGATGTCTTAGGCGGTTGCCCGTTTGGTGGCCCAGACTCCTCTGCTTTCTCATCGCAGATCGTGAGGATGTCCCGAGCGAGGCGCTTGCGTTGGCACCCCGAGGAGGTGCCGCCAGGGGATGGTATTGTTCGCGCCCAGACTGTGGGGATGTCTTAGGCGGTTTGCTTCCATATTTCTTTCCTTTGATCCGCAGGCGACAGGTGTGCACTGTACCGCGTTGGCGTCTCCTGAGGCGCCGTCGATCCTCGACCCAGGAATGGTGCTGTGCATAGTTGTGAGTCGCTCAAGGCGGAACAAACATGTGCACCGTATTGCGTTGGAGCGCGGCCTGACGGGAATCCAGACATTGTTCAGTGCACAGGCGCCGTTCTCGTATTTGAGGGCCCCATGGTCACAGCGATCAATAGCAGGCGTAGCGTCTGGGCACCTCGAGGGGGAGGAGCCGCCAGGGAGCGCTCCGAGCCGCCACGGGCTCTAACACTCCGTTTTCGCGCAGGACGCTCACGGACGGGAGTGCCAGTAGTGGAGGTGCGGGCGTGGGGATCTCCGCGCCGAGTACGTCTCACATTCGAGCGAGTTTTGGACCTGGGGTTGTCTTCTGTGAGGGTTGATCTGTGGGGTGGGGGGCGGTGAAGCGATGCGCAGGTGGGGGAGTGCAGGGTCTTCGCCCACAACCTCGCGCGGGCGCGGAACAGCGGCTTCCCCTCGACCCTGGAGTGCGGGGAGGCCGCGGGCCTGAGCCCCCACGAGATCGCGGCGCTGTTCGGCTGGACCACGGGCGACTTCCGCTTCCTCAACCCCATCGCCCGGGGCCTCGCGGAGGTCACCTTCCAGGACTACCCGAGGGGCGCCGCCGTCCTGTGCAGGCTGTCGCGTGAGGAGCCGGCCTGTGCACGTGTGAGTGGCCCTTCGCTGACGTGACCTCTCTGGTGCGGGGCCCGCAGGGGGTCTCCCCCCCCGCAGCACTGGACTGCGCGCTCGGAGTTGGCCCCCGAGGAGGGAGGAGGAGGAGGGAGGAGGAGGAGGAGGAGGAGGAGGAGGAGGAGGAGGAGGAGGAAGTGGGTGGGTGGGTGGGTGGGTGGGTGGGAGGGAGGGAGGAGGGAGGAGGGGGGCCCCTCCTGCGCGTCGCCGAGAGGAGGTGCTTCCCTACGTCCAGGTGGTCAGCGCGGCGCTGCGGAAGCTCCCGCCGGCCGCCGGGGGGCAGGTGCTCTGGCGCGGGCACCGCAGGCCCGTGGCCGCGGAGGTGGGCGCCGTGCTGGAGCTCCCCGGCTTCGCGAGCGCCTCCCACGACAGTTGGTGGTCTCCAAACCAGGTGGTGAGACACCCGGTGGTGACCCCGATTCCCCCAAAAAATAATTCTGGGTCACCACCGGGTTTGGGGACACGCGGTCGCCACGAGGTTTTGCGTTTCCTGGGCCAGCCAGCGCACGAAAACCATTACCCAAATCGCCCAAAACTCACCACCGGGTGTTCTCACCACCACGTTTGGGGACCACCAAGACAGGGACGAGGCCCTGGCTTTCGCGGCGCAGGCGAACGCAGGCAGGTCTGCCCGCCGCAGCCTGCTGGCCATCACGGGCCACGTCAGCGGCCGCGGCATCTCCAGGCGGCCGAGGGTGAACAGACGGCAGCGGCACAGGCGTGCCCGTCGGTCGTTGATTGAAGGTGGGTCTGCTCTTGGACTCCCAGATCCCAGTCTGCTTTGGGCGCGCCCTCCTCCTTCGAAGGGGCGAGCGGCGTGCCTTCCTCCCTTCTCTTCTGGGGGGGGCGGGCGGCAACCCAATCCGCTTCCAAACCGACGGGCAAGCATCCTCAGAGGGCCCCCGCTCCCTCCCCGCCGCGCGGAGCGCTCCAGGGGGGCGCCGCCGGGGGGGCGTCCGGCGCCGACCCAGGAGGTGTCCGCCGCGCGGGCCTCGAGCGTCTCCCCCGCCGCCCGGCAGGCTGGACAGGGCTCGAGCTGAACGGCGTTTTGGCGACTTTTCGTGCTGCAGCAAAGGCGGAGCCCAGACAGAGCGAGGAAAAGCGAAGCCGACACCACGAAGGCGAGCAAAAGCACTGCTTACAGTCAGCACGCACAGCAAGGATGGGCAGCCTTCCCAAGGGTACCCTTGCATCCTTGCCTCCTCGGTCAGTCCTTAGCCGCTTTCGTTGGCCGCGCCCCGTTCTAGAAGCTTCGAGATGGGCGTCCAAGGCCCTTGCACCCTTTTATCGCGCACCCTTACGATACGGGCCGACAGCAGCTCGAGCCCTGAGGCTGGGGGTTGTCGTGTCCGCACAGACGATACGGGGCACAGACGTATACACCACCACCACCACCACCACCACCACCACCACCACCACCACCACCACCACCACCACCACCACCACCACCACCACCACCACCACCACCACCACCACCACCACCACCACCACCACCACCACCACCACCACCACCACCACCACCACCACCACCACCACTTCCCCCTCCCAGGAAAGAGGAGAGGAAGAGGAAGGCGGAGGAGGGAGGAGGAGTCGACGTGGTGTTGGTGTTGGTGTTGGTGTGTGTGTGTGTGCTTGGGGCCCCGCCGACGAGAGGGCCCCCGAGCCCGGCCCGCACGCCCTGCCGCGCACACCGTGCCGCCCGGCCTCCGCGCGGGTTGCTCCCCGGGGACCTCCCAGGCCTCGACGAGTTTCTCGAGCACGTCGGCGGCGACGTCCTGACTGATGCTCCCGAGCCTGAAGGGTAGCCTAGTGGGTCCAGCCCCAACGCTTTCCATCGCATCGGGTCGGCTGTTGACCTGGCGGTTCGGCTCGCCAGTCTCGCTGCGCCTCTCGCGCCCGGTGCCCTCCGCGCCCTCGACGAGCCCAGGCCCAGGCCTCCCGCGGCCCCGCCTCAAGGCGTCGACAGCTCGGCGCCGCCCCAGCGTCGACTGATGCAGACCTCGGGAAAAAGTAGCGAACACTCCTGCCACATTCATCTGTCAACGCCTCCCCGTCCCCCCCAGGTTCGAAAAAATAGCGAACACTCCTGCCACATTCACCTGTCAACGCCTCCCCCTCCCCCCCCAGGTTCAAAGTCGGCGGTGGGTCTGATGGGTTGCACCTTGACCGCAGTCTCCCCCGCGCGGGCCAACTTTGAGTTTGGGGGGGAGGGGGAGTGTCCGGTAATTGTTTCCCTCTACCGTGCGATGTGTGCGTCGCCCCCCACCCCGGGGGCGACGCGCGCACCGAGAAACCTTGCAGTCTATGCGTCGTGGCGGGCGCTTTCTGGCCGCACCGCTCGGGACACGCTCTGCTTCAAGATGGGTATACTAGACATGCCCGGGTCGGACGCGCGCGCCTCCAAGGAGGACACGTAGTCTCAGCATGCCTCTGTGCGTCCCAGCAGACGGCGAACGCATGCCTACAGGTCACGGCGCTGACACAAGGACCGCTCTGGGCTCAGGCGGGGCTCCAGGGCTCTCGGGCCGCTCCCTGGGCCCGTAGGCCGGGGGGAGCCTGCTCGTGGACGATCGGGAGCCTGCTCGTGGACGATCGGATATTCGTTCCTGCCTTGGCGCTCCTGCGGGCTCACCGCCCACCAAGCCTCCCCAGCCCAACCCGCAGGCCCCGATTTGCCCTCCACTTTCAGCGGTGGGGGGGGGGGTCGGGGAACAGAGGAAACACACGTATTCAGCCCGTACCCCCCCCAACCCGAACGTGGGGTCTTCGTGTCAGGTTGGGGTGGTCTGGCAGGTCGTCACTGGCAGTGCCACGGCTGCATGCTGCTTCTCTCCCTCCAGGTACAGCGCCCGGAAGCGCGAGGCGGAGGTCCTCTTCCCGCTGGGCGCGCGCTTCGAGGTCGTGGCGCCTGGGCCAGGCTCCGAGGCCGACGCGGAGGCCGTCGCCGCCGCGGCGCGGCGCCTGGCGGAGGAGGTGCCCGGGGCCGACATCAGGACCGGGCCAGCGGCCAGCCGACAAGCCGCACGCACGCCTCCGGGGAGTCACAGGGGTGTGGTGACAAGCGGGGGGGGGGATAGCCAGACCCCCCCTCGTTCGGTAGCAGATCTCACGGGAGCCTGGCGTGCCCTAGCGTCGCTTAGCGTCTGGTAGTCGATGAGATAGCGCCGATTTAGCGTCGGTTAGCGTCGATTTAGCGTCGATTCGCGTCGACTAGCGTTGGTTAGCTTCGATTCGCAAGAGCCGACAAGATGGTATGGGAGGCTGCCATCAGTTGCAACCGAACCCTAGCGTCGGGACGAAAACCATGACGGGAGGTTTTTCGCCGTTGTCGGATTCTGGGGGCTATTGCCAGGCCTCTTCGGGGCTGTGGAAGACCGACTCAGGAGGAAAGCCGGTCCCAGCAAAGGGGTCCAGTGGTTGGGGGTCGAAGTTGTGAAACAATCACGACGTCGGGGGTTTGGGTACCAGGGCCAGGGCCACGCAACCTTCCTTGTTTTCATGATCCTCTCTCTTCGTTCGACGCGTCCCCTGCCCCCCCCCCTCGCCCGCGCACATGCCTCGGACCAGGAGTTGCGAGACCCCCTCTTGGACGCCCCCCTCCTCGGGCGCCCCTGGCACACCGCGCACCGGTCCTGGCGAGGGCCCGTCGTGGGCACTGCGATCGGTGCGCGCGCCTTCGGGAGAAGAGCACGGGCACACGGGCAGGGGGGGAGCCCTGCGAAGTTTCAGGCGACCTTGGCGTCGGTGCACGGCTGCCGTCGTCCTGCAGGATCGTCTACCTGAGGGAGCTGGGCCGGGACGACGCGGCGGCGGAGCGCGCCGCTGGCCTGGGCGCGGCGGTGGCGGCCCTGGAGGCGGCGGCCCAGCTCGACATGGCCGCGGCCTGACGCGGAGTGGCGGCGGCCCCCGGAGGCGGCACAGTGCATCGGCGGCGCGCTCAGGGGAGAGGCGGAGGTGGGGGGGCCTCCTCAGAAGGCTCGGAAGGCCTCTTGCCGTCCGAGGAGCCTCCCGAGCCTCCGCCAGAGCGGCAGGGAGCTGCTCGGAAGGCCACGGCAACTCGGACAAGAGCCACCGCATGTCAATACCTCGTCACAGAGCCATGCAATGACCCTGCGCGCTCCACTGGTGAGTATCGGACCACCACGGGCGGGCGGGAGCGCAGCGGAGCCAAACTAGAACAGTACAGGCGTACAGTGCAAGTCGAGACGAGGT